GGCGGGGGGCTGGGGGAGGGGCGCGGGCGGGCGTGATTTGGGGAGGGGGCGCCGCAGAGAAGCCCGGGCCCGGCCTGCGGGCTGAGCTCCCGAGTGCCCAGGACCGGGACTTCTTTCAAAAGTAAATGTGGGGAGATGGGGTGACCGCAGGGGATCAGAGTAGACCCAGGAGGGGAATTTAGCTCTTTCCTTCTCTCCTCCACTCCTGGAGAAAAATCTCTGCCCAAATTTAGTCATAAAACGTGGCCTTAAAAGCACAGGTGTTCCCGGGTAAGGGAGAAACCCCTTCCGCGAAGGAAATGCTCCTGGGTGTTAAATGTAAAGCTGCTGTTAAGATTGCAACTCTGTGCATCCTCTTAGCCCTGCGTCTCCGTCTCCGTGTAAGCAGACAGAACCCTGCTTAGTTTTAAAAAGGCAAACACTGCCTCGAGTTGGGCAACGCCTGGTGATTTTGGACTGAGACACTTCCCTGTTAATTAACTACCCGGGTGCTAACTGGATCCAACCCTGTTTAGGTTTTCCAGATCAGCCGAGGTTGGAAAGGCCCGGGTGCCTAAGTATGACCGCCCGGTCGGTAGATCCCCAGCAGATCCCAGCAGCCTTGTTGCCCAGCAAAAGGGGCGGGGCGGGGCGGAGCGGGGCCCCCACTTGTCCGGCTGGTCTGGCCTAAACACGCGTTTGGGCGTGGGGCGGGGGACCACTAGCGTTTTGCACCTCGGCCTGCCTTAAGGCCTCTTCCTCAGGGCCTCCTGGCGGCCCCCGCAGTGCTGCCTGTAACTGTGAGGTGGCCTGTTGGGTGTTTTTTTGGGGGGGGAGCGACCGGGAAGGTTGAGCTTCTGTGATTTACCCCAGGGCAAGGTCCTGTTAAAGGCGTAGGAGGCTGACTTAGCTGCTGGAAGACCGTCCGCCTTCCTTCAGTAGCTCCCCTTTCGACTGCCTCCCTCTTTACGGCCTCCTCTTCCAGCAATCCTCACTCCCGGCTATCCGGGCCAAGTCCTTCCTCCCACCCCCACTGACCCCCGCTTCCCACGACGAGGCTGAATTTCTTAAGCGCCGTTGCCTGGCTGCACCCCACTTCTCCCGCCTTAGAACAATGTTGCGCCAGTCCTGCCCAGCCAATCTGAAACGCTTCTCTCTCTCTGCCCGTCGTCTGCCCCATCCCTGGCAACAGAGGCCTCGCGGGCAGTACCGGTGCTCTGCCCATGGACCTGAGGACAGCCCCAGCCTCCCGCGAGCAGGGTTGGTATTTGAAGCTGATGGCCCCCAACATCAAGGGCCCAACCTATGCCTGGCTGGACCCCTCCCGCCTCTACTGCCACCCTCAGGTACGGGGAGGGAGTGAAAACCTGCAGGGACGGGTGTCTGGGGGCTGAAGGAGAGAGAGGGCCCCCCCCTTTGGGATCTTCTGCGTCCCGGATAGCTCGTCCGCCCTTCTCCACTGGGATGAACCTGGGCAGTGCCCACCCACCAGGTTGGCGGCAACAGCCCGTTGGTCGCCGGTCCAAGCGTGACTCGTGTGCACGGCTGCCCCACTGTTGCTCTGATTTGTGAACCCAGCTTCAGAGCAAGAGCAATTCTGCCAGTGGCTATTATTAACAGTGTCATAATCTAACATAAGGTAATCTATACTCAAATACTCTCTCACAACTGCCATGTGTAAGGGACTAAATATAGCCGCAGGAACAAGAGAACAGACAGGGAGGGCCGGTCCAGAGTGCCCGGAAAAGGCCCCTGGGCCACCTTCTACTTCGGAAGCAATCTGGGGGCCGAATCCCGTGTTGTGGTCCGTCAAAATAATCACCAGGGTGGGAGGCCTCGCCCCGGCACTCAGCTGGGGCCAACCTCTTGGAGGGTGCCCGACTCATGCCTCCCCCAAGGGCCCGGGGCAAGCTGTGTCCTGCAGAACATCTGTCTCTTCCATAAAGCTGGGCTGACTGGGGATGATGGGGAATGCAGTCAACCTATCAGCCACACCCCTCCCCCTTAAGCTGACTCCAGGCACTTCTGCCACGTCCTGCGGGCGCCAAGTAACGCTGTGGGGTCCCCCCACCTTCCACTGAAGGCTGATTGAGCCAGCCTGTTGCCAATGCCTTTGCTCCTGTGCTGGTTTTAGCAGCTTCATCAAGTACCAGCATCTCCACTCTGACCTGTCGGGGCATCAGTCGCAAGGAGGCTCCCGGTAATCCCAAATTTCAGGGAGATGGGGGCGGGAGGGGGGGACAAGGCCAGGGAACAATGGTTTGGTCATAACCCTGGGATCAGCCTCCCTTCCAGCCACACAATTAAGTCTACTGTAGAGCAGTGTTTCTCAACCTCAGCAGCTTTAAGATGGGTGGACTTCAACTCCCAGAATT